TAATCAGGGAAGTATGTCTACATGAAAAACATTGCTGGTGATGATTTAATGATTTGAATGTAATCATAACGGCAACCCGTGATTGACTATCAGGTCATACTGTGTCTCTCTGGTAGGCTTAAAATAAAAAAAGGTTTTTAGCAAAATGTATACACAGAAAAGTTATGATACAAGGGATTCATTTATGAAAAATACTTTCCTCTTCAGGCTCTCTCTGCAGACTAGTCTGGTTTGTTTCTTGTGTTTATTGTTTAAGTGCCAGACTGATAAAATGTGCACTGTACACAAGGGAACCAAAAGAACCAATTCTAAATTGAACTGCACCAAACATGTTACAAATGTCAAATTAAAAGCCCCTCCTCTTATCTATAATGCCCTTCGGAGCCTGACAGTCTGTTTTGCCTTTATCCCCTCTTTGGACTTTCAAATCTCCATTTCTCTCTGAGCTTTGAGGGTGTGTGCTCTGACAGAATGTCAGGCAATTAAACAGTCATGGCTCATTGAGCCGGAGGTGGGCCTGCTCCTCCAAGCTGCACAAGAATTGAACGCAGGCCCTCCCCGCCATTCTTTGACTCACAAATTTAGCGCTTAATCCAAACAAGAAGTTTTTATCAAAGGACACTTAAAACTATTTTCAACTTTCACAAGGCTGAGCAGTGTCACTGTCACAGGTAATTATCCTGTACCAGATTGTAAACAGGGACAGTGTGTGGGACGACAAAGACGCTCTCTCAGAGGGAACCTAGTCATGTGTCTGCCGCAGGATGTACACATACAGTAAGTGTTGCCGCATTAATGACGGCACGAGGCAGCTGAAAGACAAGACTAACACCTCTACACTTAGCCCTGGGGTACAGCAGGAAGGCAGGTAAAAGGAAATAACTAACTGGCAGCAGCTTCAATTAGGACATGCACTGACAGAGAGCTTCCAGTAAAAAGCAACTATTCTTCATAATATTCTTTTTTCCAAGGCCTCCAAAGAGATACATGAAAAGAGGTTCAAGAACAGACGCAAAACTTTCAGCTATGAGTTGCCAGCTGAGACCTCCATCTTCAATGATACTGGAAAAAAATATGAAGGCAAAAAGCAAGAACTGAGCTCATAAATATCAACGGCTTCCACTGATCACCTGTCTCCCATTTGCTTTAAAGATTCTTGGACATAAAAAAAGATGGTGGGCAGATATACGTATGTGTGATGTCCTCTGAGATTATATTTGTATACTAAACAATGCAAACATGCACTCGTTCAAGTTAAGGAAATATTTGCATCTTGTCAACAGCTGAAACATCCTCTAGACCAGTTATTCCCAAAGTGGGGCCTGTAGGTGATGCAGCAAAGCTAAATAAAAACATTGCACACAGTTTTGCACTGCCAGCAAAGCATTGCAAATTTTACAAGATAAACTGAACGCTGACAATGAATCTACACTCGAAGTCCATCCATCCATTATCTATACCGCTGGGGCTGGAGCTGATCCCAGCTGCCATTGGGCGAGAGGCAGGATACACCCTAGACTGTTCACCAGTCAATCACATGGCTGACATACAGAGACAGACCACCAGCCACACTCACATTCACAAAAAATGATAAACTACTGAAGACCATATCCTGCTGCAGGCTTCATGTGGTCATAGGTATGATAGACAGCCTCCCTCATTCAATGATGATGCACATTGTGTTGTTTTTAGGCTGCAGGGTGGTGCAGTGATTAGTGCTGTTGGCTCACAGTGAGAAGGTACACTTATGCACAATTAAATTCAAGCAATAATTTAGACAACTTTCACTTGTATTGGAGTAATATTTGATCAGCAGTATCTGTGATTTGACTTAAATAATGAAGTTGTGTACTTTGTCAACCACTGTTAATGATTTCATCCATTCATCTAGCTCACTGAGGCCTGTCTTCCCATGGAAACAGAAGCTGCACTGCTTTAGTTTGGAAAGATCTACAGTGTAAGATGTTTATTTTTTCAGCTTGTGTAAATGTATAATGGTATATCATGGCAATAACAAATCCCTTTATATTAACAATGGATCTTAGGACAGCTTGGATGTGAAAGGGTTCTTTTGTAGTGAAGAGCCCATGGACAATAACCACCTGATTCTGCACTTCCCCTCAGCTCTGCTGAGCTTTAAAGCATGTTTCAGCTCATTGTTTTGGTGTAAAGGCCTGCAACTTTGCTGTTTGGGTTCACTTTGGGTTTTGCAGACGCAGCAGGCAGCTGTTTTAAGAGAAAAAAAGAGCTCTAATAAACCCAGTAGACCCTTTTTGCTTGGCAATAAACAGCAGGCAGACAGAGTTAACGACTAGGTGGTGAGCATAGTGGAGCATTTAGTCGCTTAGGAATCAGATATTAACCTGTGGAATTAGTGGAGGCCAAAAACAGGACAAAAAGTTGTATAAAACATGAATCCAAATGAATGCTGATGTTGCTTTGTATCTGCTACATCTACAATAGGGAAACTTTTTGCAAACATTTTTGTGATATTACTTAAAATGTCATGATTGATTTAAAGATTGGAAAAAAAAGTTATACAAAAATTAACTTCATGCAGATTTGATGAATTTGGCTCTTATTCAATATAGCTGAAGGGCCTTTGTCCACTAAAAACTTTTTATTATTGAAGGAAATATTACCTGGACACAGGCCTTAATATGCATGTTGGGAATTGTTTCTTTAAAATGTCTCTTTTTCAAAAAGCTGTCAATCATTAATAACATTTCTGAAATTCAATGTAGTTTCAATCACCTGATTGCAACTGAAAAGTCTGACTGAGCCAAAAGACAAACCAAGCACAGTGTTTCCCACACATAGACTACATGGGCGGGTCGTCCAGGTATATTTGCCAACCATATTTAGCATTTTTCTTATTTTTCATTGCCATAAGAACGATGAACTAGTGGACTAACTAGCAGACTCACTTTGCACCTGTCTGTTTAATCTGCAGGTAGAAGGATATATAGATGTCTGCTGCTCAACAATACATTGATTTCGGTGCAACGTCTCGTGTTAAATATGAACCTCCTAATGTCGTTGATTTAATCATTTGATGCCGCTGGTTTCTCTCTGCACGAGGCTCACCTGTTGTCATCATGGAATTTAAAGTGAAACTTTTTAAAACAGGAGTTTAGTTGTTTGGGTGACTTTCTAAAATGTTCTTCTCATGATTATACTAAAAGGAGCACACTGACAGAGTGGGGGTGGGACATGTCACTGTGTTCATTATGGATTGGTGCAGTTGAGGTTGTGTGTGGATACGAGAACTGCAGGTAAGTAAGATGAGCGCATTACAGTTGTTTGTAAAGTTAGAGATTAAAGTACAATTAATTTAATTTCTAACCAAACCTCATATAAATATCTTCATATATTAGTGTATTATTGAACTTTGATCATAACCCCACTCCCTGGTCATCGCCCACAGGTAAACGTCACTCTGTGGGAAACACCTTTTTTTCTCAATATGAACAGAACAACCCTAATTATGACACATTACATGAAATGTCATGATGACGTGACTTCCAGGACACTAGAATCACCATGGCTTCCTCCTCCACATACACAGACATCGCTAATAGTTTTTCTGCCTGGAGAAAGCCTCTTTACAAAGCTCTGGAGGTTTATTTTTAGAAAACTATAATCCACCTTCCCTTGTACATAAAGTTTACATCTTTATTTTTGCAGTTTAAATTTAAAAAAAAAATGTGCTTGGGAACACTGGTGTAGTTATTGTTTGTCAAAAATAAGCTCCTGTCACTGAGGGCTATCTTGTGAGATTCTCCCAGCAGGCTAATTGCCCAGTTATTCATGAGCAGTCTGGAGCCCCCACTTCACTCTACCATTAGAGCAGATGCTGGCTGTATCCCCCCCCCCCATCTCTTCACAGCTCTCCCCTTTGCCAGCTCTGATGGAGGAATGTCACCTGCTGATTGGTTGCCCATGTCGAGTAGTTGACTTTGTTAGTTATGAGGCAATGAGGGGTCTTAAAGTGTGCAGAAGAGATAAAAATTCATGTTTGATCTCTTCAACAAATACCTTTAAAATAGGGTGTTTAACAGCTGATATTTGAATGCCATAACACACCACAGAGGCTATCATCCAAGTCTGAGAAGTTTCTGTATTCAAACATCTAAAAAGCCTCAGCAACAACAAACTGTTATTTCAATTTCAATAAGACTAGATGACACTGAGTCCCAGGTGACATGAAAATGACACCATGACTGACACTTGGCGCACCAAGTGCTGCATACCTCTGGGATTTACAGGTCACACAGCCTGCTTACTGTAAATCTTTAATGCTTGGAGCGCATTCCTATGCACCCGCAGCCACAGAGTAATAACAAAAAAAACATGATGTGCTTCCAGTCACAATGCATAACACAGTTTAAGACAACACTTCTAGGAAAATAGAAATTAAATTAGTATGAAATGTTTGAACCTTACACTGTGCTGCATCGCATTCCAAACAATCCTCTGGTTTGCAGCATAAAGGCAGGGAGACAGAAAGGCTTAATTATTCAGTGTAGGTGGAAGAAATGGGCGATGAGCACACACAAACTAAAAAGGCAGCGGCTGTATAGAAGACATCAGAAACTGACTGCATAAACATAATTAGTATAGACTGAAGCAAACATATCACTTATTGTTGTGGGATTCCAAGAGCCCACTGCCTAGAAAAGGATGCTTTTTAAATTATGTATTCATTAACTAAATGATTTTTTAATAACTTCACAAAAGGACACAGATGTTTTGTTGAGTATAATTAAAACACAGTGGTTAGACTAACTTTCAACTTAACTGGTTTGGTGCTTGTCAAGCATCATTATGGCCAACAAAATGTATGGTTTTGGACAAAGAATAGCTCCTAAGAACAATTTGAAAAGATCCACTTTGAAAATGGGCAAGAGAGGAGGAAGGAAGGGCAGTGTGGCTGCAAAGGTAATCCGTGATGAGAACTGTCTCTCAGCCGAATTGGTCTGTCAGCCACGTGTTAACCTTTACCCTGATGCAGCATTTTCGGCTTCAAGGTTGTTTGAAATGAAAATCCATGTATCAGGATCCAGTCCAACAAACATGCGGCTAATCTGATAGAAAATAAAGAGGGTTCTTTACAGCAAACATTTGATACGGCCAACGTCACAAAATCTATCCATCAATTCTTCCAGTGCTTCTGTTTCTGTTTGCCAGGTACACAGAGAGGAGAAGGGCACTAAGCACAGAGCAGCACACCTTCCCTCTGCCCTCTCGGGGTAAAGCCGTTGATTCGTTAACAAACACAAATCGATAGAGTGGGCCCTGATTTGAGGGCGAGCACAAAGAATTAATTTCCGGCTCCGGGGGCTTACCATGGCAAACCACCAGCTTTAATCAACAGTGTCAAGTCCCAAAGACAAACGATGTTTACAGGGTTTACTGTCTCGCCCTGAATAACAGCAGCTTTGGCTCGGCCTCCTTACCAGTCTGTCCAGGCTTGTGCCAGCTGCAGTGGTCGGCCGCTCCTCGGGGCTGTACGGCTTGAAGCGAGCGTTGAACACATCCGAAACACCGCGGGCAGACCTAGTCATTCCTGCGGGCTTCGGCTGACCACAGCCTTGAAAGACCTGCAATTACACAAAAACATGGGCACCCAATTGTCAGGGGTTTAAATGACATTGGATGCAGAAAATAAGGGGAAAATGCTGTTGTTGTAAAGTTACTGTGAAGAGTTTCCCCCCACAGCAGCAGCGTGACGGTGCTTTTCATCACGTTGAGGTGACCACGTTGAGAGGTGATTCAGCTGCTGTGACCAATGCTATTTACGATGACAGAGTTAAGTTTTTACAGGCTTTAGGGAGGAGACCACATAAACTTAAACCATAAACAAAACTGCATCTGCTGCATGGGAAAGCCAACAGAGCATTCCCCTTCGGATTGAGAACTGGCATCCAAATCTGTGTAGGCAGAAAGACATTCTTCACAACCACCTACATTTTTTTTCCCTTTCTGCCTACAATTTTGTGGTCAAAGAAAAATGCAGTAAAACACAGGAAACACATTAACTACTGTTAGTTGAACTAAGATTAACTGACCAAATTGAAACCTATAATTCAATACATGGCCTAAACTTGGACATAATTAGAATGTGTTGAACTACACACACCTTGGACAGCCTTGGATACAGCTCAGTAGGACTCAGCTCCACTCTCAGCTTCTCTTCAGCAGAACAAAAGTTGCACTTCAACAACCTGTCTTAGGTGTAACTTTTTCTATACTATGGGCTGTAAAAATAATTGACATACCCTGTAGGAGACCTGGGCACTGTTATCTTGCATATTCATGATGGCCTCTGAAATCTTGACATCAATAGGCTCCATGACAGATTCAATGTTGAAAGGTCCCTCCAGTCTCTGTGCCACCAGCAGCATGGCATCTGTCACAACAGTGGTAAAAAAAAAGAAAAAAAAGGTAGGGTGTGGAGAGAGGACAGCAAACAGACAGGTAATTAATATTTTGAACGGTATCATAGCGGAACACTTCATGTATAGATTTTTAATGTACATGGGACATTTTTGCATTTAAAAACTGACCATTTATTTGTTCATACTGTACATTATTTACATAAGATGTATCATGTGGCTCTATGGACAAGACCAGTTTATTTGTAAAGCACCATTCATACTTTGAAAGTGCTGTACAGAGTTAAAATCAGCATTAAGAACAGTCACACTGATAAATGACATTGAGCAAAAATGAGACATGTACATGTTCAAAATACTTAAATAAATATGGCATTAGTAAAAAAAATAAGCACAGTGATTGAATTAAAATAACTCAGTGATTAAATTAATATTTAAATAAGTTAAAAGAAGGCATTCTAATCCAAATATAAAAAATGATAAGACCACTCAACAAGTGAATATGTAGCTGATAGATAGAAGAAGTGATTGCACTTACAGTATGGGAAGGCAGCAGAAAACACAAATGTTTTTAGATATATTTTATATATTATATATAAGAGCTGACAGATTTACGAGGCTTAAGATCTCTGGTAACTTGTTCCACAGTTGAGGAGCGTAGAAGCTAAACGTTGCCTCACCCTGCTTGGTTCTGATTCTGGGAACAGTGTGTAAAGCTTTCCCGGAGGACCTGAGGGGTCTGGATGCTTCATAACAGACAAACTAATCTGATAGGTACTTAAGCCCAAGGACATTGAGTGCTTTATAAAGCAGGAGTAAGATTTTTAAAAATCAATCCTTTCACTCACAGGAAGCCAGTGTAAAGATCTGAGGACTGGTGTACAGGGTTTCTACTTCAAATGCCCAGGGACAAATCCCTGTCAGATCTAATGTGGCCACGTCCAACATGTCTGTACTGGATTCATGTTGGAGAAAATGTTGATACAGCACAGTATTTCTGTGTCTTGCTTTGTGATATTCTGTATTGGTACACTGATGTTATGTATCAATCTTTTGTTTAACATTTAAAGGAAGAATGTGCGACTTTTTGATCCAGTAGATGTCACAATTGAGCACCAGCAATAAACTAAAACAAACTGTTGTTTGGAGACACCTCTACCATTCAGAAGCCTCCGCTCTCCTCCAGCATCACACCTCCAACCTGTCTCCACCTGAGGTCGCACAGAGGAGTTATGAATTAGAACGCACCACAATTAGTCACAAATAAGTGCAAGCGGCGGACAAAAGTGCCTGTGTCCTGCATTGTTGTGTTAGCATGCTAATGTTAGCACACTTTGGTTAACTCATAGCTTCTTAGTGCACATACAGAATGACCGAGATCTAAAGACACTAACGTGACATCCAAATGCTATGCTATGTTATTCTTATTTTCTCCAGTCTGAAACTGGTTTATACGCGAGGCCGCCCGTCCATGGAAACATGATGTAAACACGGCTCTGAAAACAGTAAAGTCAACGGGACTCGAGCTTCTCACTCATTGAGTCATGACTCAGAGACATTTACACAGGATATTCTCGATTTCTCTTTTTATGTGTAAAATGTTTCACATTCTTCCTTTGAATGAGCACAGACATATTTCAAATACAATATGTCGCATGTCAGGCTGTCAGCTTGCATAGAAAAAAGAGGGAAAGGAACAAACAAAAAAGAGCAGGATGATTCCATTGAAACCCAAAGACATGCCTTTCTTTGCTTTAAATCACTGTTAATGGAGTACTTCTATGTGTAACGTTTAAAGAAAATACCATTGGCATTTCATTACTGCTTTCTATAATATAAAGTATTTTTCAATGAATAACTGATGACATAAAAGTAATGATTAGCTTTCAATGCATGGTTTCACTAAAGGTCACATTTTTAAACAACAAGCGGTTGTGTCTTGTCTTCTGATTACCGAGCAGTATTGTGAACAACCTCCGCCTCCTCATCACAGTCCATTGACACGCACTCATAATGCCTGAATGCTTCTCGGGGCAAATTCAATTTTTATGTAGATCAACTCAATCACGTCGACTAAATGTTGTTATGCTGCATGAAAAATAATGCTGATCATGAGTCATTGATTTAATAGAACTTTAGAAAGCCAAGCACTTATTTTTATATCGGCTGCCGGCGATGAATACTATAAGGTCACTGACTCATTAATATCAATGTGAGGACACAACGCAGAAGGCCTTCTATATATTAACATGAGACATTTAGAGTCATCATCTTCAAAGAGTTCATGTTTTGTCTTCACTTTTAATGAACATCGCTTACACGTTTTTAGATAGATGTTGCATGTAAAAGATAGATCATAACTGTGAGGAATCAGATGACATCTCAGCTCGAATCAGTTCAGCTCTACAACTGCTGCTGCCCTTTAAGCTAAATGAGCTAATTGACGCTGCCATGAAACAGAGCTAAAGGGTTTATATACTAATGTGACACAAGCTCTGTAATGGCAGTTCTGTATTTGAATGGGCAGCCTCAGGCTGGTTACCAAACCACTAAGTCATAACTTAGCAAGTCCCAGATCTGGAGACAGATCCGGAGGCAGCACTTAAGTCTGTCCGGAGACGTTTCTCCATCCACAGACCTCCCAGGACAGGACCTCACCAGCAGCCTCTTTTAATGACTCTTCAATTACCTCCTTACCAAATAAGGTCATCCTGTCATTTTCAGACTATAGAAAAAAAATTGCCTGTACATGCATGCATTCCTTAAAATGCAGGAGAGTGTTGTTTTTGAAGGAATATTGAAGAGTTAATTTGCAAAAGCAGATATCTCTGTTTAAAAAAATGTCACTTTTTTTATTTGTCGTTTATTTCAGGTATATCACTCAGACTGAAGTTGTGTGGCTTTGACAGATTTTTGATCACATAACAGCTCTATTTAAAGTGCTGATGAAAACACTCAGAATGCGGTCTTTCAGGATGTTTTTTTTCTGTTTTTGCAAATGAACTATTATTTTAAGTTCTCATAAATCTGTTCATATGCTAATGTTTTATTTCAAATTGTAAATGACTTGCTTTTTGTCACTTACATGCCAGTGTCAGATATAACATTGACTAAAAAGGTCTTGTAGGTGGTCTTCAGAGTATTTTGGAATGATAGGGTGCAGCATGAGCATGACACAATTTAGTGTAATTGGCTTCTGTAAATGCTTATCAATGTCTGAGGCAATTCTCCCAAACATTATTATTTTTTATTTTTTTTGTTGGAAACGCAGACTCATAAGAGCTTTACTGTTTTTATTTTGGCTTCTTTTTCCAACACCCAACCTATCTAAAAAAAATAAAAAATAGGAATTGATTCCCTGGCTGTGAGGGCAAAGATAAAAAAAAATAAACTAAAAAGACTCTCCACCTCCTTGACAGTGAGGTCTGTCCAGCTCTTCATAGTTCTGGGATCTGAGATCACTAATGGAGAGGAAAGAGCTGCGATACATTAGCTCTGCTCTGGCTCCATTTCCTTTCCAATTATGACGGGGTCTGAGCCTTTGAAGAGCTCTTCTGTTTGTTTACACTGTGGATTACAAATAGCCTGTGATGCTTGCTGAGATTTCTAATATACACGCCAAGCGATTTCCTACAGTAGCACTTCAATCGCACCTCTGCACTACCATATGTTCCGGGTGTAGATGACACCTGCACCAGCAGAAAAATCAACTAACAAATGTTTTTGTTTTGCTTCTATACTATAAGCATCCATAGCTATACATTGTATATGTATTGTGCTTCTTAATACCTATCTCCAATTGAGACGGATATCTTTTATTTACTTTGAATAAAGCGTTGGTATACGGCTTTTAATCTTATTATGATATAAATGTATTTAACAGCCTCAGGTGTGTCTGCTTACCTAATAACAAACACACACACATACAAATCTAAATGTGTTAGCTTAAAAGCTGTCAAATGCAAATACTGAATTTAGGTCAAAGGAAGCCAACTGGGAACAACTCTCATTTGAAAATAAGAGCCTAGAAGAGTGCCTCGAGCATCACAGACGATGGCAATCTTTACTGACAAAAGTGACTTATTTGCAACTTATCAGATGGGCTCCACAAACAGAGGCAGCAGGCAACCTAGAACATAACCGAGGGAGAGCAGACAGAGACGAGAAGGAGGAAAACAAAAAGAACCAGTTGGTGCTGATTGGGTTGGAATCAGGCACAGGGTACAGCGTCTTCCTCGAGGAGGAGTGGCGCCTGAACCCCATGTAGAAAAACTACATTGAGAATGAATGAATCTGGCACAGCTGCCACTCTGAGCCAAATTCTCCTTGCATTACTTTTGTGGTGCTCAGATAGGCCACTGGCCAGCCAGAGGAAATCTTTTTATCGCCAAAACACAGCCGTGCAAATACACACGTCCGTTCATATTCTGAACTGATGGGGTTTGAAAACAGATATGAACTGCCTGATCAAAATGATTTGTTTCACATCGGAGGTTAAAGTTTTCACTTTGTGATGTGAAACATGCTTATTTTCACTATCTGGCTAAACAGCTAAAAAAAAAAAAAAAAAAAAAAGAAATCAGAGGTGGTAATATTACTCTGGGCTTCTTATCGAGATTGATGTCCACTTAAATTCAGGCTTGTCAGCCAGAGGCAACCTCCAGCAGACAAGGACAAATAAGAGAAGTGAGCAGGCCCATCTACAGCTCTTTGCCTGTGAAGAGCTCCACAGGATGAAAAATGGCCTCGCTGTAATTTGGATTCTGTAAAGCATAGCTCATCTGTGGTTCAGTCAACCAACTAATGGTGCTGTATGGAAAGGTATCAAGGTGGGGGAGAGAAAAAATGCATGTTGCTCCTTGGTCACAAGCTGTAATTTTCAAAAAAGTCCTTGAACACACACACACACACACACACACACACACACACACACACACACACACACACACACACACACACACACACACACACACACACACTCGAGAAGCCACATCTCAACAAAAAAGCGAAATGC